CTGAATCTGAATCTATTTAAATAAAAAAGCAAAGGGCTGTCCAATCAGAGCATTTAGTCTTTTTGTAAAGATTTCTCAACAATACCGTGATGACTCCACACACATAATTATATAAAACCTGATATCATTGGAAACACATTATCACCATTTCCTGCATGTAATAAAACTGTAGAAAAATGAAAAGATAAATAAATCCAACTAAGTCAAAAGTTGACTGCAGCTCTGCTCTGAGAAAGCGGCTGAAACACTCTTCCATCACCTATAGACCTGTTTGGACTGACTCTATATATTGTATTTTCTGCTTGTTTTCCTTCAGAATATGGAGCCATTGAATTTGAGTCTGAAATAAAGATTGTTAATAGGAGCCCAAAGAAAACACTGCAGGTTAGAACAAAGGGAAAACATTTATGGAGTGCTTGGATTGGATTGGCTGGTGGGTCTCTGGAGCAGCTGGTTTGGGAAAAAACACCATTTGAATGAATAAGAAGGAACAGAATGTTAAGACAAGCTAAAGTTTGAGGTTTCACTAGATTCATGCTAAAGATAAGTCTGTGCCACTGAAGAGACTGAACAATCAGAATCAGAACCATTTTTATTGACACATAAGAAACAGGACGTCACAGACTGGAAAATGGCTTTGGCTCTCAGTGCAATCAGGTCAAAAGTCGAGAATAAGACAAAATAAAACATTTCTAAACATCTCTAAAGTATAGCTCTTTCTAAGATTTTAGTTAAAAGTAAAGTATTATGATTATTACTATAAACAAGTGCACTCGGGCTCGGTGCACACAATATACAATGTACAGCAGTGCAGTAAGTGACTTTGTAAAGGGCAGTAAAGTGCCTTTGTAAAGGGCAATAAGTGACTTTGTAAAGGGCAGTAAAGTGTCTTTATTAAGGGCAGTAAAGTGCCTTTGTAAAGGGCAGTAAAGTGTCTTTATTAAGGGCAGTAAAGTGCCTTTGTAAAGGGCAGTAAAGTGTCTTTATTAAGGGCAGTAAAGTGCCTTTGTAAAGGGCAGTAAAGTGCCTTTAATAAGGGCAGTAAAGTGCCTTTGTAAAGGGCAGTAAAGTGCCTTTGTAAAGGGCAGTAAAGTGCCTTTATTAAGGGCAGTAAAGTGCCTTTAATAAGGGCAGTAAAGTGCCTTTAATAAGGGCAGTAAAGTGCCTTTGTAAAGGGCAGGAAGGTGCCTTTGTAAAAGGCAGTAAGTAAGACCACAGCCTCCTGCCTGAGGGGAGAGGTTGGAACAGTCCATGTGCTGATGAGAGGGGAGAGGTTGGAACAGTCCATGTGCTGATGAGAGGGGCGTGGTTGGAACAGTCCATGTGCTGATGAGAGGGAGAGGTTGGAACAGTCCATGTGCTGATGAGAGGGGCGTGGTTGGAACAGTCCATGTGCAGGTGAAAGGGGAGAGGTTGGAACAGTCCATGTGCTGATGAGAGGGGAGAGGTTGGAACAGTCCATGTGCTGATCAGAGGGGCGTGGTTGGAACAGTCCATGTGCTGATGAGAGGGGAGTGGTTGGAACAGTCCATGTGCTGATGAGAGGGGAGAGGTTGGAACAGTCCATGTGCTGATGAGAGGGGAGTGGTTGGAACAGTCCATGTGCAGGTGAGAAGGGAGAGGTTGGAACAGTCCATGTGCTGATGAGAGGGGCGTGGTTGGAACAGTCCATGTGCTGATGAGAGGGGGGAACAGTCCATGTGCTGATGAGAGGGGGGAACAGTCCATGTGCAGGTGAAAGGGGAGAGGTTGGAACAGTCCATGTGCTGATGAGAGGGGAGAGGTTGGAACAGTCCATGTGCTGATCAGAGGGGCGTGGTTGGAACAGTCCATGTGCTGATGAGAGGGGAGAGGTTGGAACAGTCCATGTGCTGATGAGAGGGGAGTGGTTGGAACAGTCCATGTGCAGGTGAGAAGGGAGAGGTTGGAACAGTCCATGTGCTGATGAGAGGGGCGTGGTTGGAACAGTCCATGTGCTGATGAGAGGGGGGAACAGTCCATGTGCTGATGAGAGGGGGGAACAGTCCATGTGCAGGTGAGAGGGGGGAACAGTCCATGTGCGTGTTCGGGCGGCAGTAGCTCAGTTGGTAGAGCGTTGGCCTTTGAGCCAGAAGGTCGTGGGTTCAAGCCCCGCTCAAGACTTTCCCCATCGACACCCACTGTCTGCTGTTGTTGTGTCCTTGGCAAGACACTTAACCTCTGGGAACACCAGCCACAGTTGGGCGGCTGTAAAGTGCCAAATTGTCGTTGTGTCCTTAGGCAAGACACTTCACCCCCATTGCCTAGAATTGAGGTCCTGGGTGATGGTGGTGCCCAGGAAGGACTCCACAGAGGTGATGGGGGAGTCCATCACGGAGGGTGGGGGCGGGGGGACAGTGCTCCTCCTGAAGTCCACAATAATCTCCACTGTCTTCTGGGCGTTCAGCACTGCACCAGGACACCTCCTCCTGTAGGAGACACCAGAACACCAGCTCGTCCACCTCCCTCCTGTAGGCGGACTTATCGTTGTTGGAGATGAGTCCAATGAGTGTGGTGTTGTCCACAAACTTGATGAGCTTCAAGGAGGTGCAGTGGTTGGTGTAGAGGGAGAAGAGCAGGGGAGAAAGAACACATCGGACACGTTGAGCTGGGAGAGCTGAGCAGGGATGGCAGGATGGTGTTGAAGGCAGAGCTGAAGTCCACGAAGAGGACCCTGGCGTAGGTCCCCGGGGAGTCCAGGTGCTGTAGGATGTGGTGGAGGGCCAGGTTAATGGCGTCGTCTACAGATCTGTTGGCTCTGTAGGCGAACTGGGGTCCAGGAGGGGGGAGGTGAGGGACTTGAGATGGGGGAGCACTTGAGGTGGGGGAGGACCAGGCGCTCAAATGACTTCATAACTACAGATGTCAGAGCCACGGGTCTGTAGTCATTAAGTCCAGTGATCCAGGTCTTCTTGGGGACAGGGAACAATGACTGAGGATTCGAAGCAGGTGGGGACGTGGCAAGACTCCAGAAAACAATCTGGCAGTGAGACCTGGAGAGCTTGATTGTAGGAGTCAGGTGTTCAGAGATCCCACCAGAAAAAGTCTGAAAGACACAAGAGGGAGACTCAGAGACCAGGAAATAGACATGATGGGAACACAGCACTTATATTCTGCACCATTATACAAATGAATCTGTTCAGTTTGAGTTGATTTAAAGACTGACAAATATGTTTTTGCCCCACTTTATATACATATGTATATATCCATCCATCCATCCATTTTCTACCCTTTAATCCATCTCTGGGTCAGGGGGGTGGCAATCAGAGATGCCACCCAAGTCTCATAGCACCAGCCCCTCACTGACCCTCTGCAGGTGGTGAGTCCACAGGAGGACGGCTGCTCTCTGAGTGTGAGCACAGCCTTGATCTTTCAGTGGGGGCTTTGGGCAAAGTGGGGTTAAGTGTCTTGCCCAAGGACACAACGACAGCAGTCATCAGTGGGAGTCGGTGGAGAAGGTGCAGAGGTGGGAATTGAACCCACGACCTTCTGGCCTTAAGGCCAATGCTCTACCAACTGAGCTACTGTCGCCCAATGGACATATATTTATATATATAAATATATATAAATAGACCACCCTTACCTGCAGTTCTGCTCCTGGTCCAGGTCCGGGTCTTGGATCAGGTCCTGTGTGATGTCACCCTTGTCCTGGATGTCCTGTGAGCTCAGAGCTTTCAGATCCAGCAACTATTGCTCTGCACTCAATGAATACAAGTGCTTCTGCAGGCACCTCTCTGCATCTGCACAAATACACGTTATTGCAGAGAGAACAGATTATTAAAGAACATGTGATGTCTGTCCTCCTGGGTTCACCTGGGTCTGCTCTGGACACTGATGTCTGTCCTCCTGGGTTCACCTGGGTCTGCTCTGGTCACTGATGTCTGTCCTCCTGGGTTCACCTGGGTCTGCTCTGGTCACTGATGTCTGTCCTCCTGGGTTCACCCGGGTCTGCTCTGGTCACTGATGTCTGTCCTCCTGGGTTCACCCGGGTCTGCTCTGGACACTGATATCTGTCCTCCTGGATTCACCTGGGTCTGCTCTGGTCACTGATGTCTGTCCTCCTGGGTTCACCTGGGTCTGCTCTGGTCACTGATGTCTGTCCTCCTGGGTTCACCCGGGTCTGCTCTGGACACTGATGTCTGTCCTCCTGGGTTCACCCGGGTCTGCTCTGGACACTGATGTCTGTCCTCCTGGGTTCACCTGGGTCTGCTCTGGACACTGATGTCTGTCCTCCTGGGTTCACCTGGGTCTGCTCTGGACACTGATGTCTGTCCGCCAGGGTTCACCTGGGTCTGCTCTGGACACAGATGTCTGTCCTGTTGGGTTCACCTGGGTCTGCTCTGGACACTGATGTCTGTCCTGTTGGGTTCACCTGGGTCTGCCTCTGATCAGAGGCAGCAAAAAATTTGGCAACTAGAAGTGTAGTGGCGTTTTCAATGGCAGCTAGAAGTTTAGTGGCATTGGGCAGGTGGTGGTTCCCTGATTGTTGATCTTGATGCAGAAAACCAAGTAGGTGAAAATGCCCTCTGCTGAATTTACAAAGGATGTCGTCTCTGCTGAAAGCCACTTAAATACTAGCTTCCAACCAAAATGCCACTAATCTTCTAGCTGCCACTTAAAAGGCCACTAAAGACAACATCTGCCACTGAAAATGCCAGTAGCAGACATTGTGGCTCAGGCAGCCTCCTTTTGTGCCGTAAATGCTCTGGACACAGATGTTTGTCCTACTCTTGCCATTGAGATTCCTGAGAGGGGGAAGGAGGAGGAAGGAGAAGGAGGAAGTAGGGGGAAGCAAGGAGGAAGGGCAAACATTTGGGTCCTCTGGAACCGGATCTGAAAAGGTATCTTCCTTTTCAGATCCGGTTCCAGAGGACCCAAACTGTGGAAAAAGTATCAGGGCAGAGGGCAGAGATGGAGTTAGGAGGAAAGAAACAGGGGGATGGCAGAAACGAGAAGGGGAGGGAGGAGAGGGGCAGGGAAGGTTAGGAGGAAGGAGAGTGGGAGGAAGAAGAGGGATCAGGGGAGACCAGAGGAGAAGAGGCAGGAGAGGAGCAGCGCCGCCTCTTGGAGCTGGTCTCAGCGGTGCACTCGTCCCTGCTACGTTTACGGGAACAAGAGGGAGAAGCAGTGTTAGGAACTGAGTCTCCTGGACCACAGAAACCTGGAACAGGCACTGAAAGGAGATTAGGAAGCTCTGGACCTAAAACAAACACCTCCGCATCTGGAGAGGGAGAGGGAGAGAAAGAGCGTGAGGGGGAAGCAAGGAGGGGAGATGGAGGGGCAGTGCCAGGAGGAGAGGGGACGGCTGCACCAAAGATGGGAGGGAAAAGAAGAGGAGCATTAGTGGGGGAGGCAGGAGCTGGATCCAGAGTCTGCAGAGAAAAGTCCAGGAACTCTTCAAGGCTCTGGAAATCTGGGGAAGAAAAAGAAGACAAGAAAGGGGCCGAGGAAGAAGTGGGAGAGAAAGGGCGTGAGGGGGAGGAGAGACGAGGAGAAGGAGGTGTAGAAACAGGTGGGGAAGGGGCAGCTGCTCCATAGCTAGGAGGAACCTGAGGAGAAGTAGTGGGGGAGGCAGGAGCTGAATCCAGAGTCTGGACAAAGAAGTCCAGGAACTCTTCAGGGCTCTGGAAATCTGTGGAAGAAAAAACAGAAGAGCAAGAAACAGAGGGAGACGAGGGATCCACATCAGGAGAGGAAGGTGCTGGGGAAGGACAAAGAAAGTAGGAAGAATCTGGAGGGGAAGAAGATAGAGGAGAAGAGGGAGAGTGGACATCCACAAGGTCCACCTGCGGAGGAAAGACGTCCACGTCCACCTGCGGAGGAAAGACGTCCACCTGCGGAGGCAGGTCCACCTGCGGAGGAAAGACGTCCACCTGAGGAGGCAGGTCCACCTGCGGAGGAAAGACGTTCACCTGCGGAGGAAAGACGTCCACCTGCGGAGGAAAGACGTCCACCTGCGGAGGAAAGACGTCCACCTGCGGAGGAAAGACGTCCACCTGCTGAGGATAGACGTCCACCTGAGGAGGATAGAAGTCCACCTGAGGAGGATAGAAGTCCACCTGTGGGAGGTAGAAATCCTGAGGTAGGAAGACCACCTGCAGGGGATGGAAACCCTGCGGAGGGAGGACCACCTGCGGAGGATAAAAACCCTGCGGAGGATAGAAACCCTGCGGAGGGAGAACCACCTGCGGAGGATAGAAACCCTGCGGAGGGAGAACCACCTGCGGAGGATAGAAACCCTGCGGAGGATAGAAACCCTGCGGAGGGAGGACCACCTGCGGAGTATAGAAACCCTGCGGAGGGAGGACCACCTGCGGAGGATAGAAACCCTGCGGAGGGAGAACCACCTGCGGAGGATAAAAACCCTGCGGAGGGAGAACCACCTGCGGAGGATAAAAACCCTGCGGAGGGAAGTGAACTCGATCTTCAAAAGCCCGGGGGGCTTCACGGTGACCTAGAAAAGAAAAAAAGTCAAGTCAAATATACGTCCTTTTTAGCATCATTCATGCATTTTTTTAAACATTGAAATCTTAATTGCTGGGTTGCACCTGACGTCATGCAGCGACGCGAAAGTGCTCCGAGGGACAAGAAGTAAATCTCCCCATTAGGAACTATGTAAAAAGTCACTGATTCCGAGTCAACATGCTCTTTTTCTATGGTGTGTACAGTTGTGGAAACTGCTCCCATCAAGTGGGGACCTTATGGAGTATCTATTTTGTTAACATGTATTTCTCTAACGAGTGTTGATTTTTAGGAAAATGCCTAATAAGGAATGGAAGAAATGCATTAGCATTAGCCTGCGTAGCATCTGGAGCCGCAGACACAGCTGACAGTCTTTACTTTGCTGACTTTTGTAGATACAATGCAGTTTTTTTGTGTGGTATACGGCTGTAGTAACCGAGGCAGCACTGTTACATATAATTAAAACAGCATCTGCATTGGAACAATATGTTTGACGATGAAGGACACAAAAAATAGGTGCTCCAAGAGATAGGCCTGTACCAATAACTATTATGGTTGGACGTTTCAATACAAGCAACTTAACAAATATCTTAATGGCTGCCATGCATATGCACACAATTAGGTGACTGCAGACAGGACCAAGACAAACCCTGGCAGATTCAATTTTAGAGAGAAAAGTTTCCATAAGAAGCCCAACGTGCAGGTGGCATTTTCTATTTCACGGTGCACCACAGATACTGTTACTATCAAATGTTTCAGTGTTAAAGAAATACAGGGACTAAAACTACAGACTAACATGACCATCTTCAGCAGAGAGCTCAAACATGTGTTAAGATCCAGAGTTGTTCTCACGTCCACATTTTATTGTAATTGTTTGAAATGTATTTTATCTGTAAAAGCCCCTGTGGACTAGTGTTGAAAACTAGCACATGTGCTTAACACTTAACACCTGCCTCATTTTGGCTCGTGCACAAAAGTTGGGCATACCCAAATGTCTTTGCTTATTTAAAAACACATCTTACATCTCACATGCTTGTGTGATGCATCATTTTAAAGCTAGAGCCTTCTAGTTTATGTAAAAAAAGCACTAAAATAATGTTTGTCATTCCTATTTCCCTCTGCATCCTTTGAAGTTTGGGAAAAAAACCTAATTTTTTTAGCCTCGCCTAACATTTTCAATTTCTAAAGGCCCTAAAAAAGGCATACTTCATTGTAAGTTCACAATATTCAAACCCTGTGGTCATTGTGTTGTTGACAACAACTGTCTAAAGTTTCAGACTTCTAAGTTTTATAGTTTTTATGCAGTTTCTCCTTTTCATCAAGTAGTGCACATTTGCAAATATCTTTACTTACATTTAATCATCATAAAAACAATATTTTTTATTATTGGTACTTCTAAGTTACTAATCTATGTGTTTTTTGTTTTTTTTAAAGTCAAAGTTATTTTTTTATGAGTGTAAATTCATTGCAGCTTCGAGAGCGTCATTTGGCTGCCATTATGCACAATTCTACAGGCACAACGTAAGACAGGACACCATTGTCCCACCCCTTGCTCGAAAGCTTTCCTCATTGGCTACACGGACATGTCAATCGAAAATCCCGGAAATAGAAGCAAACAAGAAGGGAAGACAACAAAGATCAGTCCTCCATGCGCAAACAGCAGCACTAGCTGTACTCACAGGAGCTCTTGCAGACCCAAAAATTGGTCTAGCTTTTCGGGAATAGTCTCATTTGAAAGATAAGGAGCTAAGGAACACGTAGATACCATTGTTTGGGTGAAAAACAAAGCTAAAAGTCCGTTAAAAGTGAAAAAGCAACATCTGTGCTCGTTTTTTTCGCTAAAGATAAATGCACATTTTTGGATTATTTCTGCAGAATGGATTTTACTTTGGGAAATACAAGTGGATATAATTTTCCTTTGGACTGTTCCAGAGAGAATGATGTATTGCAAGCTGGGAGGAGAGCTGATTTATTTGTACAGCACAAGCCCAAAGGTAAAAAACTATTTCGGAATTGATTTATTTTGTGCTCACATTATGTGTTATATCTTTTGAATGCAAAGTCTGATGTAGTTTACAATGTAGATAAGAAAATAAGCTTTAAAATGATATACAGCTTTCGGGGTTTGGTGTTCAAAATTCATCTGCTATTGCCAGCAGAACATTTAAAAACATAAAAACGGCACGCCGGCGCGCCGGTGGGTGTTAAGAGGATAATTATTAAGTGTATAGTCGCGCGGTGAATGGAAGTGCTGTGGTCCTTGGTTATAAGTATTTGCTTATGACAATGATTATTAACAAACGTGTGTAATTTTTTTCATGTATTAATTTAAATAATTGTTTCCTGATCGTACATCTACCATTTATTTTTCACGTAATGTTAATAGGCTAAACTTTACATACACCTCGCTCTTTTTTCTCTCGCTCTGTCCCGTCTACCTGCGAGGCGCTCTCTCCTCACCGCACACACACATCCCACACAGAGCTACTGCACTTATGAGAGACAGATCTCACAACACTGGATATGTTGGAGTTCTTTTCTCTTTTCTCTCTCCCCTTTTTCCAATTGCTTTCAATAAGTTTTGCCTCATCCATCGCGACGTCCTCGATGCTTCAATATGCTGTGCTTTGCACTGATCATAGCCACAGCTCATGCACATCACACACCGCTTCTTCTATTTAAAACTATAGCGGCTGCCTGTTGCCTAAAGCCGCGGAGAGGCGAGTTGGGTCTGATAAAAGTGTATGACGCGCTAAATAAGTATAGAAAACAAACGAAGAGGATGGATCATAATAAACGCTGGGGTCACAGGCCAAAATGCGTGGTGAATACAGAAAATATTAGTGATTAAACTTAAGCCCAAAAAATTGCAAAAATATATCAAACAAAACTATAATAGCGGTCAAGAAAAGTGATGGCCTCCCAAACAGACGTCTCTCCTCTTTCCCCGTGCCCCCGCAGGTGTATTCCCATTCATAATCTCGTGTACCGCGCCCAAACACACATGCACGCACACGCCTCCCACACACACACACGCACGCACGCACACACGCCCACAATACATGACTCCTCCATCAGCCAAACATTCATTTATTCACACAATGCCCAAACGTGTCTCCTACAAAAACAAAGCAGGCTGATAAACGCACAGCCAGAGCTGCTGCTGAAGCCGGTGTGGCCACTAGTCCATTTTACGGACGTCTGACGGGCAGCAGCCAACGCACGTCAACGGAGACGCGCCTGGTGGAGTCCTGGCCTACGGGTCGCCGCAGACAAGCTCCGCTGTGATTGGTCCGTGTGTGTGTTAGGGATGTTCCGATCCAGATTTTTTGTGATCCGATCCGAATCCAATATTCTTAAATATTGTTTTGCCGATACCGATTCCGATCAAATTTTTTTCTAATATTTTGAAGGCATTAAAAATGTTCCAACCAGTATTACTTTAAAATGTTTTTTTTTTATTATAACATGATCAAAAATATTGTTTGGCTTTTGGTTAACAGACCTACTGAGTTAAGTCATAGGTAAGAATCACATCAGTATTGAATATTTCACCTTTAAAATAAACCTGATATAAAATAAATATCAAAGAGGAACATTTATCAAAAAGCTGCCCTTAAAGTAGTACTAGAATGTAATATGCTGCTATCCAGAATATATAACTACAATATGTGTTTATAATATTTCGGGTGTTCATTTTGACATATTCAGATGAATTATGTTAAAAAAACGGCTCTGAAGTGGCACTTTTTAACAAACGCTAGGGGGCGCCAAAATGGCGGCGATGACGTAGGAGAATGACCTCTCACAGCATATTACATTCTAGTACTACTTTACTGTAACATTCAGTAAAACAAAAAGAAAAGAGCTGGTACATAACTGAATGACCACAAAAAGCCAGTACTTAACTAGTGTGTGAACTCTGTAAATGTAAACTCCCCAATAGTTAACAAATCCGATATTATCCGATCCTTACAAAATACCCATATCGGCCCCGATACCGATACAGAATATCGGATCGGTACATCTCTAGTGTGTGTATTGGAAAGAAGCATGGAGCGGCTGCAGGAGCAGCTTCAAAGGAACCGAAGGAAAAGTAGTTTGGGCTCAGAGCCTGATATACGCGGAGACTGTGGACTAGAGTTCTGTTGCATATCTAACTTATATCTAACTTATAAACTGTGCAGTCCTTTCTTTTGCACTGTTCCTGTCTTGTTTGAATCGTAGTTCATCGCGTCTGTTCCATTCCTCCTGTACTTGTAATTAGTTCATAGCTGTCTCAGATATTTACCACTTATAGTTTTGCTGTTTGTGCTGAATACAGTCGAATAATAACTGTTTCCAACAAGAACTGTGTCTTTATTCACAACATCACAGTTTAATGAGTTGAAACGATGAGTTTAGAACGGTCACATAAGCCTACAGTAGAAACACATGTAATGATCTCAAACATCTTCACTATTGTTTTTGTTCTGAAGAGAAGAAAGTAGCAGTGTAACAGGTAAAAGTATTGTATTCCACTTGTTATAGACCAGTGTTTTTCAACCTTTTTTGAGCCAAGGCACACTTTTTTCACTGAAAAAATCTTGCGGCACACCTCCAGGAGAAAATGTAAAAATGTATACAGTACTAATGTAAAAATATATACTGTACATACTCTGTGTGATATATAAAGTATATCTTATCTTATCTTATAATGTATACAGTATACTCTGTAGCCTATATTCACAATATACAGTTACTCTCATCAAAATGCTTAAGTCCAGGCCTTGACTTTAAGCTTTATTTAATATTTCTCGATACAATTAACAAGAGTTTGGGAATAAAGTGGCACTAACTGTGTGGAAAAAAACTAAGAAAATCCACTCTCTGCCCAAATAGTCAAATAATAACTCACACAAAGAACATGCATTGTTAGTGCATGGGAAAAATTTAGGTATCCGAGCTTTAAATTCAGGAGTTTTGGATGAGGGACACGGGAGGTCCTGAACGCGAGTCCATGGTTCTGTCCGGTCCGCATGTCTGTGGTTCTGTCCACTCGACTATGGTCTGCGCTCGGTACCCAGTTCAGAAGTGCGTTCGCGAGAGCTGTTGTACAAAAATGGTACATTTCATAGTTAAACCACTACAACGCGGCCACAGCTGCCCCGGGGCAGAGCGGAGGATGTTAATCCTGTTCAGAAACGGCATAATTCATTTTCAAAAACGTCTCTATCACTTTCACTTCTCACTCGCCACAAAGCTCTTGTCTCGCTCCCTCCCACATTTGTTGGTCGCATCCAATTTTACCTTTTTCGCCACAATGCTGACCTGTTACAGCCTGTGGTCGCATCCAATTTTTCAGTTTCAAAGTACTTAGCTATCTGCTGCCATCTACTGATTTGAAAAAGTATTACATGGTTACTCCACAGTTCAAAACAAGTCACTGCTCGTCAACAGCGAATGCAGTTATTTTTAGACAAAGTAGACGAATTTCTCACGGCACACCAGACAATATCATACGGCACACTAGTGTGCCGCGGCACAGTGGTTGAAAAACACTGTTATAGACACTGTATTATAGTGGAACAGCGCCCTCTTGGGGTGACAGATCCTTTAAGTCTTGGGGAAAAATGTGCTCGGCGCCATTTTCACTATAAGCAAGCCGAGGTAAGGTCACAAAATTGGTGTGTCTGCTAAAGTTGCATTTGTATGTTTATTTGTCAATTGTATGACTGTGTGGGATGCTTGTAAACTTGAAAATGTCAATGTTTAGTTAAATTAGATTGCAGTTCAGTACATATAGGAATGTTAACCTTTTAAAATGTATACCCCACTAGCTGCTGCTCGTTTGCGGTGTCCCAGGTCCAAGGCTGACCAGCTATTTTGTGTGTTGCACAGGTACATTTATTTTATTGTATATTATATTTGGCCATTTTCACTATAAGCAAGCCGAGCTACTGCTCGTTTGCGGTGTCCCAGGTCCAAGGCTGACCAGCTATTTTGTGTGTTGCACAGATAAAGAACTTGTTATACTACCCTGTCTCCTGGCGGTTACTCTACTCACAACACAACGCAGAGTCAACCACGTTACAGCAGCACAAATGGGATCGCTTTGGTTTCTCAGGCAACTCATGTGAGTTCGCCATCACATGGTTGGTTGTGGGATTACAACATTCGGGGAACGCGCAAGTGTACCACAAACTGTGGTTACGTAGGTCCAACGTAACCGCAACCAGCGCCGCGCGAGTGTACACAGGCCTTTACAGCAATGCATCTGGCTCGTCCAATGTTATTGTTATGTCCATACTAAATTAACAAATAAATAAAAAGTTACATATTAATTGGTAATAGCCATTGGTACTTGGCATTGGAATCAAAACGATATTGGTATTTTTTTATTGGCACATCCCTCTCTGAATAGTTCAAAGGCACAAAGGAGGTCAACTTGCCATGCGGTAACTACTGTATTAATAATAACCAATAAGCAACAATAAAAAGCAGAAACACAGAAAAGAGGAACTTACGTGAGGAAGACGAGTGGTCTCCATCTCCAGCGTGGGTTAGAGTGCGCCGGTGGTCTCCTAAGACAAAACAAACATTAGAAAAGAAAAACATCCAGAATCACTGTCCCCCTAACCACATAAAATAAATGGACAGAGGTTTGTCTGTTTGACTGGGACGGTGCATGTTCATGAACACACTTGTACCATAAGCACAAAACTGGACCAACTACCACTACGACTTCCACTATTCTCAAACTAAAACAACTGCAAAATGTTTAATTTTTCAACAAATGTATTAAAAGTCAGTCATTAAACGACTTTGAACCTTTACTCACTTTTAATACGTGCTGAACCTGGTTAATATAACTTGAAATACAACAAAAACAGTTTGTTAAAAGGCTAAATGCTAGCCTAGTGAGGTAATAGAGCCAGAACCAGTCCAAAACCAGTCCAAGACCAGTCCAGCATGTTGTAAAAGGTTACCAGGCAACCGAAAATGGTGAACATTGGAAGAACATTTCAAAAGTAAACATTTTAGACGGGCGCCATTTTGTTTTCCAGAAACGCAGCAAAAATGGTGGATTTTAAAGAACCATGAACATGTCTCACAAAATGGATAGTTCGCTTCCTAAGCTACACATTTATGTAACTTTATCCAAGTTTTCACCTTTAATTCATCCTTAAATCGTCGAGTGAAAGTCTAACTGCCATGATTTAGAACGTGACGAATATTCACAAAATGCTGCACATCAGACAAAGGAATATGCACTCAGGAATCATAAGAGATGACCAGCTTACAAAACCAGACAATTATTGACTCCAAGAATAAACAAATGCTCTCTCCCACTCTCGACGAGGGCAAAAGTCCAACACAATCAGGCGCCCAGTGGTGGGGGGCATTGTTTGCTCAGGTGGAGATGGAAGACCGGGTCCAGACCAGGACCAGGGGCCAGACCAGTCCCAGATCTGTGACGTCATCGGACCCTTTGATAGAAACTGCTGGGAGGAGATTGGCAGTCAGTCAGCCGAGGGCCAGGAGAGGGACATATTAGTTTAGGAGCACTTTTTTTGTTGAATATTCTGTATCTGATTGTAAAGATAATTAAATGCAGATGTTAAACGTGAAGATCTCTTGTCTCGCTCTTGCATCGACTTTGGATACGTCAGTCAAAGGGAATTATTGACTTCATTTTGGTGAATCCCGACGTGATCGGGGCAGGAGCGGGACAGAGATGAGCTCAGTTATAGAGACTGGATTTGTGGGTTTGGAAAAATCTCTCTGCTCTTCAAAAAGGTCGCTTCTAAGGTAAGCGGATCACAGTTTTGGAAATCTGCACATTGTTTTAAATAGAAGAGAGAGAGATTTTGGCTCGACAGATTGCAGCGTGGCCAGACGACCGCCGTGACGGGGCGTTCTATCGGACGCGATAGAACAATAGTCAGGTTTAGACGTTTTAACCTTGGGGGAAGCATGGGTCCCTCCAAAAAAAACAGAACATAGATGTTGAAAAGAGAGCCACAGGATTTAGAAGTGCAAAAGAGGCACACCTTCGTGCAGAGAGGCACAAGCATATTAGTGAAAAATAGGAATAGAATTAGAGAAATAGGGATAGTTAGGGTCAGAAGTGATAGGATAATAAAAACTCCATATCCCCCGGGGGGCGGGAAAAAAAGGGTACATTTAAACAGAAAAAAGCCAAGTATTTAAAATGTGGATTCTGATAATAATGATCTGATTAATGAGAAAAAAGGGAGCCACTTGGCTGTAACTATGAGTTTTCATGTGAAGAAATGACAAAAGATCAGTCTGGGAGTTTTTCTCTTGTATTCTGATGTAATGTTTCGATAGTTACAGAGAATCAGGAAAAAAAAAGATTCTGCTGGAACCCTCGATACATTAATCAGGTAGCAAATTGTAATGTTTTCCATTACTGACGTATTTAAATAAATGTAAAGTGTCGTTTGACGTGAGAGAACTCTCACCACTGATAAAACATTGTCACGATAAAAAACGAGGAAAATGTAGCAAATTTTAAAGGGGATGTTCATGAATTTGGTGTATTTCAGTCGTACATGTACTCCTCTGTTTGAGAAACCACACAGCCCCTCCTTCTCCCTCCTGGCTCCCTCTCTGAAAAATGCTTGAGGCATACAAGCCACTCGGCCCCTCCCCTCCCTCGTTCTGTCCTCTCTCTCTCCCCTTCCTCCTCTCTCTCTCTCTCTCTCTCTCTCTCTCTCTCTCTGTCTTTCTCTCTCTCTCGTGAAGAAAGAATTTTTTTGTAGAAAATTACATATATACACACGATAATGTTACTGACATGGAGTCATAGGATCACAGAACTTTGAGTTAGATTATAAAGAGGCATTATTTTATTTTTATTTTTTATCTGGACAAGTTTTTTTCCCTACATTTTGGTGATATAAAAGTTAGAATGATCTTAGAGAGCATTATACTTTTGGAAAAAGTAGGGCTTAGGATAGCAGTTGAATGCAGAATTGGTTTTCAGAATTTAATGTTTAAAATGTTAATATTAATTATTTCATAGGTTTATTTTGAATTGTAATTAATCATTGGTTTCGTATGGTAATTAACACACTTGTTTGTGCTTCTTGTTTGTCTGTTTTTTCCGAGAAAACTTCTGTCTGTTTCATTGGGCCAAAATCGTCTGCCACAAGACCTCAATCGGGCGCCATCAGCACGGACCATCAGCGTCTCCCCCAGACCCACAGGGGGCACCAAAGACAGCAGCATCGGCTGCAGCAGCTAACAGGAACTCTCGAAGAAGACTCCTCCGGCCCCATTTCATGGAGAAGAACCAGACTTTTGCACAAACCGAGTGGAGTTATGTGCACGGAGAAGAACGTTGTGTAAACCTAACAAGAAGAAGAAGGACACACACTGAGACAAAGAAAGACATGAGAAAGTGATTGAAAGAAGAAAGAAGGTGATTATTGAAAGAAGAAGAAAGAAAGTGATTGTTTAAAGAAGAAGGAAAAAGACATGGAGACAAAGACATTGGACACTTTGAGACAAAAGACATTGAAAGACGCCATGAGTAAAAGAAAGACATTAACGGACATTTGAGACGTGGCTGGCCTAAATGAGACACACAGAAGGTAATATACAGACAGGCAACAAACGCACAGAGACATATATTAAGTCATATTTACACATTTAGGTCATTCGTTCATAACACCACATTTAGCTGCATGAAAGATTACAGGACAATCGTTAGAATTAATTAGACTCTTGCTTTAGCATGAGACACAAGGAGATTAGAACAGCAGTATATTTAAGGTAGAGGAGCTCTATTATTGAAACTAGTATTATTTAAAGTTATAGACGCGGAGAAGTTTAGAATTATTGATTTTAACTGCATGATCTTGGTAATACGGATATTTAAAGCAGTGTTTTCAACCTTTGAACCGTGGCTCGTTAATCATTTAAAAACAGTCACATGCACAGTTGAAACTGGTGCTAGAAAGAGAACTGCAGCTTTTAATGGACGCTGCATTTAGTACAAAATGGTTTGTTCAGACAATTAAAGTTTGAAAAATGATTTAAAGCATTTCTGAATTTTGGCTAAAGGTGATATTGGATCATTTCTGATAACACATAGACGCAACACTGTTCATTGGTTGAAAACAAAGATGTAGGGACATTTTTTGAAATCTTTTATGACATGTTTCTCTTCCAAATAGCTAAATTAGAAACAATTAGGACAATTATGTCTTTGATATAACTGTTGGCAGTTTATCTGAGACATGATTGGTGCAAGTACAACAACACACATAGGACAATGGTCTTTTCTCCACATGAACGTAAAACAAAGGTGAAGTATTAAAGTTTGAAACTAATTTACATTTTTTAAGGAATCCGAACTGGCTTTAAAAAAAAAAGGGAAAAACATTTATTGCACGTGCATGAGTTTTTTTGTTAAGTAACAAGAGCTCATTAAAAATATAGGGGACACAGTTTGTGACAAGCCCGAGTAAAGACCACGTGGTTTAAACACTAAAGTTTGAAATGGATCCTTTTAGGAAAAATCTCTCAAAGCTTTGCATGTTCTGCAGGCTCTGAAAGTTGCAACTATAAAATAGCTCATGAGACAATTGTAATTGGACATGGAAAAATATAACAAAGTTAAAATTACAGGCCTCTTGTGTATGTTATATGTTTGTGTATGTTATATGTTTGTGTATGTTATATGTTTGTGTATGTTATATGTTTGTGTATGTTATATGTTTGTGCGTCATGTCAAATACACTACGTTGACCTTAACAAACTGGACCAATACTAAAGGCGCGTTCAGACCAAAAGCTTCAAAAAGCTTTTGACGCGCTTCACCTGACGCCGGGATAGTTTTGTCATTTTGGTGCTTGAAGCTTTTGACGCGAGTGACGCGCCTGACGCCGGTGGGAGGAGCTTCTCTGTTGTCTGTGGGAGGATCTTCTCTGTTGTCTGTAGTCAGGACAGCGGTGGATTTTTCAATGAGCAGCGAGCCTTTATTTGTTATATAAAGCAAAATAACGTTGTTGTAGGGCTTCAACAAAACATGTTCTGGGTTCACCACAGACTTGAGAGGCTGCAGTGTTTGCAGAGTTCCGTCATTTACTCCAGGAGCTGCGTACGGAGGAGTTTCGCTTTCAGCGGTACTTCCGCATGTCACTCGGCCAGTCTGAGTTCTCAAACCCCGGAGCTCGCCTCTCCCCGGCTCTCGCTCGCCTCTCCCTGCCTCTCCCCGGCTCTCACTCGCCTCTCCCCGCCTCTCTCTCGCCTCTCCCCTGCCTCTCCCCGGCTCTCACTCGCCTCTCCCTGCCTCTCCCCGGCTCTCACTCGCCTCTCCCTGCCTCTCTCTCGCCTCTCCCCTGCCTCTCCCTGCCTCTCCCCGGCTCTCTCCCGCCTCTCCCTGCCTCTCCCTGCCTCTCCCTGCCTCTCCCCGGCTCGCTCTCGCCTCTCCCTGCCTCTCCCCGGCTCTCGCCCGCCTGGAGCTGCCTTGCTCTGAGCCAGACTCATCGTCAGCCTGTTCTTATTTTAAATAAACTACGTTTACTACACAGCATGTGTACAATGATTT